AATAATATCGACCACACTAAAGAGAGTATATTTGAGTATAACTGACATTATTATAGATATAATATTGCATCTGCTAAAAGTTATTAAATAATTAATTCTTATATTTTTGTCACCTTATATTACAAATAACATACCTGAAACATACCTTATAATTGATCTTTAAAGATATGTTTTCCTATGGATAGAAAATAGATTTAATATCAGAAGACAGTTCCAACAAACTGTTAAGGACTGTCTTGATTTCAGTATAGATGAAGAATGAGAGATGGCACATTAGTTCTTTCAGGAGGGGTACTCTAATTGATTACCAATATCCACCATTAGGACAAAAAGAAGGGATGGTGACTCGATGACAGGTTATTTGCCATTTTGGTTTAATTTTGTAACATCTTATTGAAGACAGTTTATCATATTGATGAATATTTAGAATTTGTGAAAATACTATGTGCTTTGGAGTAGAGAGCCATATATAACAAATTTCAATTCTTTGTGTGCAATAATCTTCATAAGAAATTATAATTTTCTAAATGAAGCAGTCTAAATTTATTCCAGTGTGCCATATTTCATTTCGAATAGAAGGAATCTAAGCAGTAAGCAAGATTTTCATTCAAATGTGCATAAGCAAAACTTTGCTTTGATAAGAGATACAATAGACATTACTTTGCAGTGTTCTATAATACATAAAAAAAACTTGACATTGAAAGAACCTATATTATCTATATATGGGCATGAATAAAATAGTGTTAATTTGAAAAAAACAATATTTATGATTGAAGCTATTTATCTTCTTAAGAAATAAGGTCAAGAAAATTAATTACATTCTCACAATGATTAAAAATAAAATTTCACTTAAATGACCTCCCTTGCTTACCTCTGAGAGAAGGATGTGCCTATATTTGAATAGTTTAATGCACCTACTTTTCATTAGTTTGAATATCATGTAGGGAAGTCTATCGTTTCCTAACAAATACATATTATGTGAAGAACAAGGTATGGAACAAATATTTTTTTAGTTCAATAAAACATCAAAAGGTAATTTGTGTTTCATAGTTACTTGAAACATTAAAAGAGGTATTATATTATATAAATAAACATTTAAATACAAATTTAAAATAGTTATTAAATAGCAGTATGTAATGCTTCTGGTAAATTAGTATTAAACAGTAACTTTGTAAAAAGTCTTTTATTCATAATAAGACATTTTTATGGCAAAGATAAGATTAAATCAAAGCTCAGATTAAATCGAAAGATTTTTACCTTTATTGCGACAATTAAGCTATGAATAGTCCTGTATGGTTTCAAATTGTACCACATATTTTTTGTGGCCCATGAAGTTTAATGAAATCTGAATCATAACTTTCAGTATTCTTTCACATGTGAATATCCAATTTTCTCAATTCCATTTATTGAAGAGACTGTCTTTTCTCCATGGAGTATTCTTTCATAGCTCCCTTATAAAACATCAGTTGATTATGTATATATATGCATGGGTTTATTTATGGGCCCTTAATACTGCTTCATTGATTTATGTGTCTATTTTTATGACATTACCATACTGTCTTAATTATTATGTCTTTGTAATATAGTTTGAAATCAGGAAGTGTGGTGCCTCTGCCTTTGTTCTTCTTTCTCAGGATTGCTTTGGCTATTTTGAATCTTCTGTGCTTCCATACAAATTTTAAGATTTTTTTCTATTTCTGTGAAAAATGTCTTTGCAATTTTGATATGGATTGCATTAGATCGATAGTTGTCTTTGGAATTTATAGTATGGATATTTTAGCAATATTTATTCTTCCAATCTATGAACATGAGATATAGTTTCATTTGTTTGTGTCTTCTTCAATTTCTTTCCTCAAAGTCTTGTAATTTTCACTGTATAGATCTTTTACTTCCTTGGTTAATTTTTATTTGTATTTTATTGTTTTTTGAGTGGGATATTTTGAGTGGGATAATTTCTTTATTTCTTTTTTGTTTGTTTTCATTATTAGTTTATAGAAATGCAATTCATTTCTGTATGTTGATTTTATTGAATTTATTGTTTAAATAAAGTTATTGTGACTTTATTGAATCTGTTTAGTTCGAACAGTTTTTTTGGTTGCGTCTTTAGAATTTTCTATATAAGATCATATCATCTGTAAATAATGGCAACTTTACATTTTGAATTGGATGCCTTTTATTTTATTTTTTAATTTAAATTTTTTTCTGATTTGGATCTTTTATTTTATTATCTTGTATAATTGCTATAGCTGGGACTTCTTGTACTAAGTTAAATAAGTGTAGTGAGTGGGCTCCCTTGTCTGGTTTATGATCTTAGAGGAAAACCTTTCAGTCTTTCACTATTGAGTATTGAATATATAGGCTTGTCATATACATATGGACTTTATTATATTGGGATATGTTCTTGCTATACCCAGTTTGTTGAGGGTTTTTTTTTTTTTTTGTCATAAAAGAAAGCTGTATTTTGTCAAATGTTTCTTTCTGTATCTATTGAGATGATCATATGATTTTTATCTTTCATTCTATCAATGCAGTATGTCACATTTATTGATTTGCATATGTTGAACAACACTTATTTCCAGAGATAAAAAATTGTAATATTTAAATAGAGGAAATGACAAGAGCAAGGTTCCATGAAGAGTTGTATGAGATTTGCTTGGGAAAGCAAAATGATTCATTTTCAAAGTCATTTAAGGCTCTCAGGGCCCACCGCACACATCTCTTCCCAAGTCCTTGTTCAGGAATGATCTTTTGGTAGCTTCGTAAGTTTGAAAATGATGGGAATACTAACACCACAGAAATCCTCAGACATTACAAATCAGTGTTTCCCTTTTCACTCACCCAAACCGAGAATTGATTTAGCTGCCTACTACTGAGTCAGACGGTTTGGTTTAAACCCTGTCTTCTACTACCTCCCAACAATAGTATGATCTTGGATATTTTTAATCTCTATGACTTTGAGTTTGGGGGATAATAGCAAAAAAAGTTACCTTTTTGTTTTGTTATGATTATTACATGAGATAACAACATGAGAAAAGCACCAAGAACACTGCCTATTACCTAGTGGATGCTTGATAAATGTGTGCTAATAAAACATTTATTATTATTTTGCTTGAAAATTTTCAGAAATTGACATATTATACTGTAAGATAAGGCAATTGAAGAGCAACATGGTTTAAGGTTAAATTGGCCCAGGTGTGAAAGGTTCATTAGTGCTTATAGGGACCCAGGGTTGAACAGTTCAGCAATCCATGTGTAACATAGCCAAGAATCTGAGTATTCTGAGCAGCATTGAAGAATAGCCATGTTTTGCAAAACTTCCATCATTTATTTCCAAAAAGTCAAAATGGCTTATTTGGGGGAATATGTATATGGGTCCCAGGTCTGGCTGTGATCCAGGCTCGCGGCTAGGGATAGGGCTCCGGATTTGGCATGTTTCATTAACGTAGTAGGGCACCTGCACCTAATTTATATAAGTATGATTCAGCTTATTATATCACGCATGGGTGACAGAATGCCACTATTGTTCTCTGACATATATAAAGTCCATGCAGTCCCCTGGGGAGCAGAAGAAGAGCAAAAGAAGTAATGTGCTCCCCGCAATAGAACTGCACTTCCTGCAAAAGAAGCGTGCTCCCCACAATAAAGTTGGTGCCCGCTGTTTCATTCTCATGTTGGTTCCTCCTGCGTTCTTTCCATTAGGCCTCTCACAGCTGAAACCTTCCCTTCTTGCTCAGCTTGGCGCTGACAATGTATTTAATAGCACAAAGATTTAGTTCCAGTCATAAAAAGTAAAGACCCAGGAATAAGAAGACCTGTTTTCTGAAATATTGTGTAGCTCTGACTGGTCTATCAATTACATTATAAGCTGAGCTTTTCTAAAATAGAACTTAAATAGTAAAATAATATTTACAAGCCTAATTAAAAATTAAAATTCCAACAAATTATATTTTCATGAGTCTGAATAATTAATCCAGTGTCAAAAATAGGTTCAGGTACTTATCAAAATAGGTTCAGGTACTTATCAAAACTTTCAGGTGACTTAAACATGAGTACAACACATTCCCTAATCTGAATAATGTTCAATGTATTTATGGGGTGTGAATATACACATAAATTTACAATTAAACACGTCTCCTTAAGCTACAACAAAGAAATCTAGAGATTAAAAATCAGAAATTCAGCTTGGGTAATAGAGAAGTCTTCTTAGAATAGACAAAATTTGGTGAAAATTTGACAGGTAGAGAAGAGAAACAAAGCAGAGATAATGCATTATATGTTATGTCTCTGAATCATGAAAAAGCTGAGATTTAATGGAGAAAAAATTATCAAAATTTTTAAAAAATGACTAGAAGACCATGTAAGCCAAGATGAAAATATCAGGAATTCATATTTAATTTAATATTATAGATTATCTTTCTACATGATTAAGTAATTTTTTATTATTATAATTCAGTTTTTTATATATAAAGTCTCATAAAAACAAAACAGAATAAAAGCAACTTGAAGGAGCAGAACATACTTTTTTAAAAAAAGGAAAAGGAAGGGGAAAAACAACATGGGCAGAGGACTTATTACTTCTCCTTAGCTTTTGCCTTGGTCTCATCTTTGGACTCCTGGCTTGCCTTTGCTGAAAAAACTTCCAGCTTTTCAGCCATTTTCCCGTCCTTATTGCTTTTTGCCCAATCTTGCCTCGTACGAGCCTGGGATACACTCACCACAGAAAAAGCTGCTGTTCTACTGTACGTCTCCAGAGTCACCCAAATAAACATGTAGTCACGCTTGGGACCTTGGTCTTTCTGCTGGGTTACGTCTGATCATTCCTTATGGCCGCCATTGTCGGCCCCAAGTAAGCAACTGGCCATGAGGACCTCACAAAGCCCATTCAGTCTCTGTGGAACTCTAGTCAGACACCATGACTTGACCACCTGCCCAAGTACAGCGAGGCCAGGCCACTGAGCACGGACTCGGGGCCTAGATGGCCCTTCCTTCCCCAGAAAACACCCTGTGTCCCTGCTCAGTCGCATCGTCCTTGACAGGTCAAAGTAATTACAGCACCTGGGAATGTTTCTGTGGCAGACAGAAAAAGCCCTGGCTTGGGACTCCAACTAGGCACAGAGTGAGTTTGTATAAAGCAAAATCTTATAAGGGAAGTATTATCATAAAAGTCTTGTTATTATTATTTTTCTACTTGGCAATGTAGAAACATTTGATTATTGCTAACATCATCATCATTATTACATTAATTACATGGCAAGAGAGACATACTGCTTTTAAGCATATATGACACATGAGAGTTATGACATGTCTTTTTGTTTGTCCTCCTTTTGAGTACATCTCAAGGTCAAAAGTAGACTTTATATGTATGTTTTTTCCTTATGAGCAATTGACATTTTATGGAGTATTTTGTTTTATACTTAATTTTTCTATCATGTAACTTTATTATGGGTATATTCCTTGAGCAGATTCTTTTCAAAGAATATGGAATCTTCAAAGGTCGACAGGTGTAATTCTCACTGATGAGAAAAATAAGCACTGAAACAGATTGTCTCACAATCTTCAGAAAAGCTAATAAGGAATCTGATAAAAATGGAAGAGTAGAGTTATGTTTATAAGAAAAAAAAAGATGAAAGTGACAGGTTCATTAGCACTGCTCCTTTTGACTTAAACTACAAAATTAAATAAATAACAATGCAAAACCCATTATAAAGCTCCATTTAGTTTAGCAAAAATTGGTAGTTGGTTAAAAGAGCAGATGGTGACACTGCTTGTGGAGAGCACTCTCCAAAACCTAATTGAGAGTGTTTCAGGAGGCAAAAAAGAGTCAGGTGTAATATATGGATATCCAAATTTACATTTTGCCCTAGACAGCCATCATGCACATCTGTTCTTAGATATCAAGGAAAAAAACATAATTTCTTTAGCTTTTTTATTAGCAGGCTCATCAACTGCATTGGAGACTGAGGTGGGATATTGTGAGAAATGTGTTTGAGTTTGATGGTTTCTTAATTCACAGTGACTTCAACCAAAAAGAAATGCTAAAACTAAAATTATAATATTGTTTCAGAGGGAGTCTCCACCATTAGAAATTTGAAGAAATACAAGAAAATAATACTATATTTGATTCTGGAGAATAAAGAAAAAAATCTATAATTTGCATCATAAATTGCTTAAGTGGTTCACAAAAAGCCTCTGCTATGCATACTCACATTTTTATCACTAAATTTGATCATTATATCTACAGAAAATGATTACATGATTTTGTGTTGGAATGGGTCAGCCAAATAATTTTATAGTTGAGTAAACCAAGCCTCAGATAGAATTAACTATTTTCAAAGGGCATACAGCTTAGGAGAAAAAAAAATGAGTATTTAAAATTTGTCAATATCAGTCTATGGCCATGCTACCCTGAACAAGCCCAATTTTGTCTGATCTTGGAAGCTAAGCAGGGTAGGGCCTGGTTAGTACTTGGATGGGAGACCACCTAGGAAGACCAGGTGCTGTAGGTATAAAAATTAATAAGTAAAAAATAATAATAATAAGGGATTGTAAGCTGACAAGGTCCTTGCAATCTGTGAGGTCAACCAAGGGTTCCCTTGCATAAAAAAATAATAATAATAATAAATAAAAATAATGAATAAATAAATTAAATAAATAAGTAAATACATAAATAGAATTTGTCAGTATCAGGAAGATTTTCTATGTAATGATAATTTCTGACTGTACCTGGCTTAAACAGTGGGGAAAGTTATTATCACACAACAAAATCTTTTGAGAGATGGATAGAGAATCCAGTAGCTAAACAAGTCATCAAAGATCAAGATATTTTCCACATTTTTACTATGTCATCTTAGATGTGACAGCTTGGTCTTCAGGTTGATTTCTCTCATGGTCAAAAGATATCTGAGCTGCAGAAATCCTCTGGGGAAACTGGATTCCTTGTTCCATTCACTGAAACATAGAGGATCTTCTTTGCCAAGTACTAAAGCCATAATTTTTAATCTAGTTTGGCCAATTTAAGTCACTCTATTCATCTTTAGACAAAGAGGCAACAAAATCCAAGCAGAATAATAATAATAATAATAATATCCCATTCTTTAAAATTTAATGTGATAAAAACTTACTATTTGATAAGCCAGTCTGTTATTTCAATTAAGGCCTATGAAGAAGGTATCAGTTCAGTTTATGTAACCACCAACAGTGAGGTTTTTCTCCTTATTCTCTGGTAGTAAAATATTTAAGTGTTTCTATATTACTGTTCCTATTTTTAAAAGATATGAAGATATGAAAATGTGAAGCTGCATCCTACTTTTAGTCTTTATAAATCATTTACACTATTTTTGCTTTAGGATCAAGATTGATTCCCACAGGCATTTTTTTTTTCAAAATTTAATTGAAGTATAATCATGAATTTCCTAAAATTTAACACAATTACATCCAAATCAAAATCAGAACATTAATAGCAGCCCAAATACCAATAATTACATTAATTTTGGAATTGAAGTGACATTGCTCACACTGTCAGTAGGAAATTTCAAACTTCAGATATATATTGTAAGTATTTGAGATTGAAATTCAGTAAGAAAATTTATACAAACCATGATGTTGAGATACAAAAACAATTGTATTGTGCATATGATGAACATTTACTTTAGCAAATATTCTTTTCTTTATTTGATGACTTTCGTTGACATGACACCAGAACGTTGAGGATAATGATAAACAGTAAATATATCTAGTATTTTTTTATTTATGTATTTATGTATGTATGTATGTATGTATTTATTTATTTATGATTCTTTTGTGAGTGTCTTTATAAAACTAAAATTCTCAATTTATAACGTTCATTGTTTATGTCAATTTATTAATATGTAGAGATTAGACTTATACCCTCATTATCATGTTGACATTTATATTGGCAACACCACTGTCAAACTGATACTGTAAAGCATTGTTTTTCCTGAGACCCTCTTAGAAAATAGAGTGAATCATTAATTCAGTTGACAATGAAAAGAGTGAATCATTAATTCAGTTGACAATGCAGAGTTAAGATTTATTCTAAGTATTAAATAAGTTTTTATTCTTTGTTTCACAACTACAATTGAAAAGATCGATAGAGTAAAAAATAAATTTATCGTATTAATTTTCAAAATTTAAGTGTTCAGAAATTATATCAAATGACCTTTTGTCTGGTTTGTGTTTTTTATCTCTTCATGTATTGGATTCTCCATAGAAGAATGCCCAAAAGTTACATTTTGTTTCCAGATAATAGCAATGCAAAAGTTTCAGATAATCAGCCAATTGGTTTAGTAAACAAAACCAACCCAATTTTTGACTAATTTTTTTCTTCCCTAAACCTAGTATTAACCCAATTTAAATGACATCTGTATATAGACATGGTTTAGATTTTCTAATCGAAGTCGTTATTCTATAGCCCTCTGAAGGTGACTTTAAGACATTGTTGGTAATCCTTGGTTGGTGTAAACATATTTATTTGAAGTTATCAGACTGTTCAAGAATCTCTAAAAATCATATCAGTAATTGTTACTAACTAAATTAGAATATTGATTTTAATAGCTTTTAGATGAAACGTTAAAAATGTTAAATTGCCTTTTTTAAATGGTATTTCCAGTATGTTTGCTTAAAATTTCTTAGTATGAACTGTTATATAAGGTAATGTTTAAATGTTAATGTAAATGTGCAATGGAATTCTATAAATATTAATTATGCATTTTTTATATTCTGGCTTTGTTCTAAGAGTTTTACATGTTTTATCTCTTTTCACTCACAAATAGATGGAGCTGTTACTGGGAATAAAATGTGTGTATAGATGGATGAATGTATATATAATACATCCATGTCCATATACACATTTATATGTATTCTGTGTATATGTATATATGTGTATTCTGTTCTATGCAGCTAAAAAGTACATTTTAGAGAAAAAATACTACTAAAATCTTATTGAATAGTAGGAATTATAAATACAAGTAAGTTAAAGTATAGATAAAAACAAGTATAAGTCAAAGATTTGAGATGTGAGAGAATGAAAGGGAAGGTAAAACTATAACCCACCTTAGCATTGGAGGTGTAACTTAGGAGAATTTTTAAACATGTATATCCAAATAGCATATTTAACCTGAAGAATTTTACAAAAACAAATCTACTATACGTACAAGGTTTTTAAAGAGCTTCTAGCATGCCTTCAGATCTGTCTTTTGCTTTGATAGTGTTTGGGTGGAACAGACCCAGGACACTCCTTATTCCAGCCTCTGACCACCCTCCAACCTCTTTTCCAGTCTCAACCTTCGGAACCTTCTCAGCCATCGTTGGCCTCTGAGACCAGCCAACAATGTGTTTTGAGCTTAATTCCTTATTTCTGAACAACCATGAACTCTCAAATCTGTCAGAATTATTCCACCAAGGTGGAGACCGCGTCAACTGCCTGGTTAACCTGCTTCTGCAAGCCTCCTACACCTACCTCTCTCTGGGCTTCTACTTCAACCGTGTTGATGTGGCTCTGGAATACATGGGCTACTTCAGAGAGTTGGCTGAGGAGAAACGCAAGGTGCCGAGCGGTCTCTTGAAGATGCAAAACCAGCGAGGCAGCCGCGCCCTTTTCCAGGACCTGCAGAAGCCTTCTCAAAATGAGTGGGGTAAAATTCAGGATGCCATGGAAGCAGCACGGTATTGGAGAAGAACCTGAACCAGGCCCTTTTGGATATGCATGCCCTGGGTTCTGCCCCCCCCATCTCTGTGACTTCCTGGAGAGCCACTTCCTAAATGAGAAGGTGAAATTCATCAAGAAGATGGGCGACCACCTGACTAACCTCCACAGGCTGGTCGCTCCCCAGGCTGGGTTGGGCAAGTATGTCTTCAAAAGGCTCATCCTCACCCTCTATATCACTAAGAGCCTCTGGATCCCAGAGGCTTTTGAAGAACCCTTCAGCATCCCTTGGTGTTGGCCTTGTGCCTGATCTTTTCCCTGAAACCAATAGGCAGCCTTCTAACCATCCTGGAGCCTACTCCCATGCCTTGGACCAAATTGAAACAATAAAGCTTTCTGCAGAAAAAAAAAAAAAAAAAAAAAAAAAGAAGCTTCTACATTTAAATTAAAAGATAGATTAAA